CCATTTGCTTCTCGCATTTTTTGCATGCTTCAAGGGGAATACAATGCTTCGAAAAGCAATAAATGCAATCGAAGTGAGCTTAAAAATGAAAGGCAACTCATCAAATCAGACAGGTGCATTGGATGAAGCAGAGAAAAAAAAACCAGAATGTGAATGAAAAAGCACCGAGTGCTTTGAGCAACTTAAAAAGTGTTCGTGAATGAATACAAATCAACCACTGACGGAAAAGAAAACTGAAATGAAGGTGCCATATTTGAAAGCGGTTCAATTAAATGCGTTTAGCATTTGTCTTTCAAACGGAACTAAGTACACACAAATCCGTGCAGTGTCTGGTTTAATCCTATTCACGTTTCTTCCTATTTGAAAAATCGACGTTTGTCGTAATCAGAGAAAGAGTGTCAACGGACGGGAAAAAGTTCCGAATTTTTCGCTCAGACAGAATGAATGAATAATGATGTCTCGGGGCATTATTGAAACGAGATAATTGAGTCGAGTGTTTGTTCCTTTTATGTTACTCATCACATCAATCTTGAATGCGTCAATGGCTCCAATATTTGCATGGATTTTTCGATAGCTCATTTCCATCGAGTCTTGTTTTTTATCAAAATAATCCAAGTGGAGGGAGGGACGTAGAGAAATGAATTAAAACGAAATGCAAACAAATCAAAAACTTATCTCACATTGGCCATGAATCAATTTCACTTTTTCATTTATAATTGTCGCAAAATTCTTGAATACCGAATGGCTATAGCTTACTGCAACGGAGCCAATTAACGGAATAAAAACAGATCGGAAATCGAAGCGACCTGAAATACCGCGATAAATATATAATGTCAAAGTCAATCAACTGGAAAATTGGTCTAGACGAAACCGTTCAGTTGGGGTATATTGCATCCATATTCGATTAATGGAAGTTAATCAAGTAATGAAAGTTCAATATATACAACGACAAAAACGCAATTTTATTTTATTATCTGCATGTAGCTCTGAATTGGTGTACAATTGCTTATGATTTTTTCGAGAAGAGATTCAAATTCTTTCCACCCTTATTCTGACGATCCCCATACAATTTCTGAATAGCTTTGCACACTACTAGAAAATTTTAGTTCTGCTGAATTTGTTTGAAAAAAAAAAAAACATGTTTTTGTATACTCATTTCCATTAATATCTGTGATGTCAAACTCATTTGACATATTTCGGGACGCACTCCTGAGAATATAGAGACGGTTTGAATATTGAAAATCACAGATGTCGCTAAGCTATGAAAAAAAAAACATTGAGCAATGTTTTTGGATTAAAAAAACATTTCTTCTTCGATAAAATTCTAAGCACAACTTGACAGTAATTCCGCGGTGATTATGAGTTTAATATGCATGAACATCTTGAAGAAGCAACGCGATCAAGTAGGTCTTTTCGTGCCAAAGCCTCCACTTTTCCTCTCAAAGTCAATGACTTTTTCGCCCAAAGCAGTTTCAGAGACTTTTTATCCCAAATTGATAGAATCCGAACACGCCCGGAAATCGTGCACTGAATATTTCGACGTCAACTACCGCATATCTTCCGACATCGTGTGTTTTTGAAATGAACATTTTGGAATGAAAATTAGGCCTTTTTGAGCCAAAGCGCTCCACTTTTCCTTCCAAATTCAATGACTTTTTCACATGATGTAGCGGGATCTGTATTGAAAATTCATTTGTTTGTCTCCATTGATACATAACCACCAAGGGTATGTTTCGTCTTGTTTGCTTTGACATTTCTTCGTAACAGATATTAATGGAAATGACTATACTAAAACTTTTTTAACCCTTTATCACATATTGGTTCCTAAAGTAACCAGATACGCCAGACGCTATGAAACCACTGAATATTTTTGCATTCTTGTTTGGAAACAAATGTAGGGAATTGAACTAGCTTTCATTTGATACTTTACAGGCTACAATTGGCTGGCTGAATGAAAAGTTTTTTCTGTTCATGTACTGCTGTAAAAAAAATGCGAAATTATAGCAGAATTCCACATTTTTCCTCCTCTTATCTTGTGGGTTTGTTCATTCTTTTCAATTGTCAAATTGGGACTCGTAGGACCAAAACACATCAATTTAACTTTCTGCATCATTAGTTTTATGAAATTTAATTTTTTCAAGCTTTTATAGTGATTTGACACTTTTGATTCTTTTCCGATTTTCTCGACAAATACGCAATTTTTCAAAAATCTACGTATGAGGTCTTTCTCTATTTATCATGGCACAAAACATATATATCAAAATGATTCAAAAACAAAAAATTGTGCATCAAAGGGTTAAAAAGCAACATTAGCTAATTTTTGACAACGGATTCGTGTTTGGCGTCCCAAAAAACACTAAAAATGATATGTCACTAGATTCGATTTGAATAACCTATGGGTTTTCAATCAATATATATGTTGAAAAATAGGTCAAAAACAGCCATTTTAAGTACGGCTCTATCGACCAAAAGATTTTAACATTTTTTTGATCCGAAAATAGGAATCAGCCAAATTTAATTTTAAGCTATTGGGAGCATATACTTTACCATGATAAATCAGTTTGGACCACCCTACATATCATTCACTTTTTCAAACATCACATACCTCATGCACCGCTACTGGTAACAAATAAGTTCCGGTGGAAAGAATACCTGTAACATAAACCAATAATAATGCAACCTGTAGAATAAGCGTATGAATGCCAAGATTTTCTCTTGAAATGAACAAACAATGTCGTCCAAAACTAAATGATTTCGTAACTACCTCGGTTTGAATCTTTACGCCACATTTCATATTTTCCACAAGAAAATAGAATCCAATCTTAATCTACATCAAATAGAACGGTGGAATCATTCTGCGGAAGTGCCAATACATTACCTGGGCCATCTTTACTTGTCTTTACTGTTATGAAAATATGTTATTTTTCGCTCATTTAAAAAAAAATTAATCATAGCTTTAGGACATTAAATCGACAAAAAATACCTCTTGAAAATTGACAAAAGAGTGTCTTGTGCCCATGCGTTAAGAGCTTTTTCCAAAATGCACTTGACGTGTTTCACTTTGAGGCTTCCAATTTGTTCATTGATTAATCTGCGAATCGTTTAAAAGCTCAGTAGAAAACCAAATCAAAATATTTGCCTGGGATATTTGGTTTGATTCGTTGAACAATTGGCTACAAAAATTGCAACCTCCACTTTATTGAAAAAATTCCAAAAAACTTGCTGTTGTCTTTCATATTTCGATTTTTTATTACTTTTATCACATTTCAAAGGAATTTTCATACTTTTCCGATCAATAAATACTGAAATAATTTACATTCAAAAATACAAATTTAAGAAAAAACTGACATTTCCCATTCAAAACGCATTATGGGCACTCAGGCACCGATTTCACGAACAACGTTAGAAAATACATTTTACGGTTTGAAGGTTAAACTACATAAAATCCCTTGTAAAATCCACAATTGAAATCGCCCTACCCGAAGTCATTCCGGCAAATCTTCCAAGATTTGAATATTCATCTGAATTTTTGCACAAAATCTATGGGCGTAAGTATGATATCGATGATGCTTGTGCTCTTATCCGCTGTCAAGTTTCCGCAAATTTTATTTTTCTAATCAATAGCTGACCGCTGAATTCAATTTATATGGTTTCATTTCTAATGCGTCATTTATTATTACCAATTTAGATTTATTTTTATTGGTGCAAATTGTAAATTGAGATTTGGCTCTAGAGCATCTGCATTTCATTGCAGATTTTCCATTCTTTTTGTACATCCGTTCAAGTCAAATCTTGTTGCTTGATCTCATACCAATATTCATAAAGCTATCATTCCAATTCATCAATTATTGTTCATGTGCTTTTAGTCTGAGTATCAAAGTGATCTCTTTATGCTCAAGACAAGTGCTGTTTTTTGCTCAGGATAAATTTTCGAAATTTTCCCAATGGGGCCGAAATGATTTTTGGTCGGTGTGGCTCGCTAGGCCGCACCAAATTAGGCCATTTGCCACCATTTATCCGGATCCATAGCCCCCATAGGTAGGAAAAATTGGAACTCTTCAGAGAGTCTGACTCTTGATCAATGATCATATCTATTGACTAGATCGAGAGGAGAGTATGTGAAAAAATTCTAATATATTTTGAAAGAGGAGAGTATGTTTTCTGATGATTCTGTTGGCGTTAAAGTAGAGTATGTTGTAGTACCGTCTAGCCTCTGCGGTCTTCACGGTTTTCGCGCAACTGATAGGAGATAACAACATAGTGTCTTCAGCAAAGTTGTAGTACTCGAGGTCTTCTATAACATTGCTGGAGAAATCTATCTCTTATCTCTTATCAGTTGCGCGCAAATCGCGCACATAAAAAAGCAAATTTTATATAGAACTTTTTTTTTCTTATCATTTTTCGCGCTTTTCGCGGAACTGATAAGAGATAAGAGATAACTGGCTTCAATGCAATGTTATAGGAGACCTCGAGTGCTACAACTTTGCCGAAGACAACAAGTTGTTATCTCTTATTAGTTCCGCGGGAACCGTGGAAAACCGCGAGGACCCGCCAAAAATGAACATACTCGCCCTTAACCATTTTTGAGTCGAAAGAAACTTACTCTTCTCTTTCATAACAAAGTCAGATGAACTTACTCTCCTCTCGATCTAGTCAATAGATATACAAATTCTATTTATGAAGATGTGATACCAGATTATCAATAGGTTAATACATGTTGTTTTTAGTTGGGACCTCGAATCCATGCACTTCTAAGTTTTACAAGGATTGAAGTTTTCTCGTTAGTAACATGCATTTCCTTCATTAAGCATACAGTGTGCAAAATGCGAACGATTTGCAATTGATTTTCTATTTATTATTTTACAGCTGAAATTTGCGTCTGGTGTACACGATTAATATAAGCACTACTTTTTCCAACACAATAAGTAATAATAAGTTTCGAAATTCATTCTAAAATTGATTAAAAAACATTAAAAATAAAATTGAGTCAGTGACAAAAATGCATAATTGTTATAGATTAGAAAACATAGCGGAAAATCTTCTTGATTGGTTCTGAAATGGCAAGCATTTTCCATCGAACATTGTTTCGTACTCCTTTCATGAAACGCAGCATACGTGCTTTTTTGCTTCGATCCTTGCCGCGCGGTCCATACAAGATTTGTATTCCATTTCGATCATCTTCGTGCAACCCCTTAAACTCGTTTCTGTAAGATGCATACATAACTGCCTCTTCAACATTCGAATGATCTAGACCCAACGCATGGCCGAACTGGAGGAAAATATACCGGTGTACGTATATATTGGAAAATATACATATTACTTTAAGTAAGCATATACCTCATGCACTGCTGCATACATTAGATCGGATCCGGAATCTTTATTATCTGGCGATGGTGTCCAATTTTGTTCGGCATTGAATCGAAGAATAACTTTTACGGGATTCGGAGGATTGGCATAGCCTAATATTTTTTGTGTTGTTTTGAACATGGCTTGAAGTTCGCAAGATCTTGAAAATAAGAGAATGTGTATTGAAATACAACAGTTTTTACAAGTTTTTCTTTCGATTCGAGCATTGGAGTTAAACAGATGTTAACAGACTGCTATTAATAACAGTCTTTGAAAATAGTTTTACCAGAAACGTTTGGGATATGTAACGAAAATTTACCGCGAGAATCCAACTTCAATATCTGCACGTTTTGTGTTCACTTCACAAAAGTTTAATGGCGTTTCGCGTGACCAAACATCAAGAGCTTGTTTCAGAATACCTTTTACCCAATCAACGTTCAAATTATTTATATTTTCATCGACAAGTCTGGAATAAAAATGAAAAATACGATCTTTTTCAATATTGACCAACTCAATTCAAAATAACCAATCATTGTGATCACCGCCATGTGAGATTTGTTCTGGGCCATCTCAATTCAAAGTTTGCAAATCGTCGTACTCGATGCTTCAAGTGATCCTCTTTTGAAGAATGTAATGATTGTGGTAATATCATTCCAGCACAACGCGGTTGCGTCATTAATTTACATGTGTTATGGTCAATGAACCCAGACACTCGTATTCGATTTGATTGTTGATATGACTTGATCGCTTCTTTCAATTGATTTTTATTTTCAGTTTGGTTATAAGACGTCGGTAAATGCCCCAATTCCATCAAGAACGTTACCTATTGGATGAAAATAAAACAAAATTATATACAAAACCTGATAGATATCAATGAAAAAGTAAAACATTCTGTTCTGGAATATAAAATATTCATGGGAATGGAAAAATATTCCATTAACACACAATTTCATCGTTGCTCATCTTTTCACAGCTGAAAATAGGTTTCACCGAAAAACCATGTACACAAAGCAAAACAAGCAGCCACACTATCTGTGACACGAACACTTCCTTTCGCACTGTCATTATTTTGGGTTACACAATGACAAATATGTATGAATGACACTGTTCACTCAAACGCATCAGATAATCAACTGAATGCTTGACCATATTGCATGAAGTGTATTGGTCAATGAGCACAAAAAATTCCTTCAATGAGACAGAATGAAGGCATATTGCGAGAGATAGTGCATGTTTTGTGCATTTAATTATGGCATAGTTTTCATTCTTTTCCACTTGTAGCCAGTTTTATTACAAGGCATATCGTATTTTGATTAGATTCATTCATTTGGACCGGAAGCATGTCATGTGTAAGTGTGTTTAAAACCGAATCAGTTTGAATTCATGAATGAACTTAAACACTGTTGAAAGCAATGCACTTGAAATTTGTATACATTATGTGAGAAATGCTGGTCAACTATAATGGAGCAGAGTATATCTCCCATAGATAGCCAATTGATATTCGAGAGCGTACATTTAAGTTTTTCACATTTCTTCACTTCAAGTTCTGATTTAGTTTTTTTGTGGACGTGCATGTCGATGAGAAATTCGACGATGATTTCGAGTGTATTCGAAACTACTTGAATTTGCCTGTTGAAATATCATTTGAATACGTTTCCCATTTTGCAATTTCCATTGGTAACTCTTGCTTTCAATTCCATCATGAGATGGTAATTGAGGCTCTTTCGCACTGTCCACTTGCGCACGCGCGCCAAATGTGATGTAAATATCTATTTAAATGCGTTTGCTTTTAATATAAAATAATGTGGAATTGCTTTTGCTGTTGTGATTTTGATCTGAATTTTTCATGAGCGAGCACAGCCGCTGGTGTATACAGTGTACAGTGTACACCATTACGGATCTTATAAATGGACTTTTCATTTTCTTATCGTTTGCATTTCAAGTGCTTGGGTCCGAGAGATGGGCACGGTTACAAATGTGGTGCCTGTCAACGAAATCATTGATATGTAAATGGTTGTTTGTGTTCCCGCCATACATCTTACGCGCAATGGTGATAATGGGATGCATGTTTAATTACATTTGCATACTCCTTAAGTTCAAAAGACTTGACCCAAATGGCGTAAAAGAAACACTCGCATTTTGGACACCCGCAACCAAATTCGCACCTTTGCGTGAAATTTTACACCGCCATTTGCCATCGCCAAGAATATAAATGCAAATTCGATTGACACGCTCTATGCCACGTATGTATGCCATCGTCTTGCATTTGCCATGGTTTAAGCGTATTTACGTTGGGTTATTAATATTGGACTGTCCTCTTTGTGCGGCGCTTTGAGTCTTGGTGAAAAATTACATTTCAAAGTTGAAGTTCCTGTTTATTCGCGGCCGAACATATAGCACACGCTGTTTGACACTGGCATCGCGATAGCAAATTGAAAAATCGTACCGAAAATGTTGCATTTGATTGAAATGTAAATCACATGACATGGTAAAATGAGAATGGTGAAAACTCCATTTAAATGACGGGAATTCGTTCGACAGAGCAATTTTCCCGCGACTGAAAAATATGCAGGCTAAAGACAGAAAAAAAATCGAGAGATAGAATGGCGCTGGCGAATCCAAAGCATTCAAGTGTCAAACGAATTGGCGTTTGTCGTATTTTTCGCGTTATTCGCATTCGGGCTGCCAAAGCGAAAATGAATGTATATCACATGAAGCGAATCGTGAAGATGGCAAAACTAAACAGTGTTGAACACAACCATTTTATCTCGTTGCGCTAGCGGCGGAAAGTGAAAGAGGAGAAGGGAGAGGGAGCGAGGGAGCAAGCAAACGAGGATAAAAAGTGTCGAACAAAAAAGGTGGAGTTTGTCACAATGTGTCGCGTTATAATTTATAGCTAAACGCGATGGTAATGCCACTAACGATTGAACAATAATAACATGGAGATAGAGCTAGTTGACGACATGCTGAACAAAATCATCGTTTGTAAAATGCGAAGCTTCATGTTTAAGACAGGCGGAAACCTTCCTTTGAGCACACACACACTCGTGGAAAATGCAGCAGAGGGAAAAACACGACAAAGAAATGCCAAAATTTGTGTGCTTTCCGCGATGAACTTTTCTTCTTGCGACGGCACTTGAAATGCGATGTCGACGGCTTGCTCGGTCGCAAACAGGATGGCACACACACACACACACACACACACACACACACACACACACCAAACACAAACAGCAGATTATGAGGCGTACGAAAGATTTATGATTTTGATGCACACAAACCGTCGTACGCATAAATCATTAGCACACGTTCAACACATCCAAACACACTCACTCACTCACTCACGCTCCCTCTGTCTATGATGGCATGTCGAGCTGAAAATTCAAATGCGATTGAAACATCATCGGAAAAATTGCAAATTTTACGCTTTAACAACAATTTTCGCGCAAATGAGAAAATTCGACAAAACAACAACCTATAATCATTACGTTAGAAAATTTGGCATTGGGTTTTCAGTTTAATCGCTCATTATTTGGATGTGGTTTTGATAATAAATCGCATGACGTGTTCAATGAACATGTTTTCCTAATGCCTTAATAGAGCGTATTACCTCAAATCGGTTTAATTTTTCCCACAAACGAGTGAGAGAGAGAGAGAGAGAGAGAGAGAGAGAGAGTGAGTGAAATAATTGCATCACGCTCACGGCATTAAACACACATAAATTTCTGGCATCGGATTACTGTCTCACCTCAGAGACGCAGTCTCTCAACAAATGATTGATTGACGAGATGCAGCAATATGACACACAATGCCAACAAATATTTACCAGTTTTCGATCATGAAAATAGCCTAAAATGTTATTTGTCACACAGTTTACGGTGAGATGCTTTCAGCCAGCCGTGACAAGCCAACACTCTCTGGGTAAGATGTAATTAAAAGTTTTATTAAGTCATCGTAACAAAATTTTGCAGTTGACATAGAGAGAAAAAGAAGTGTGGCACGATGTGACCCCCGGAAACCATTGTGCCGTCGTCACATCGACAAAAGTTTCGTGTGAAATAATTCTCTTTCGGTTGGCTCGCATATTCATTAATTATAATTATTAGTTAAAATTGTTCTAATATGTTAATGGCATGTATAAAATACCATGGAACAGCGTGCGCATTGTTTTTGACGCAATATCTTATTATATTCGAGTGAAGCCCATTTCATGTTTTCAAATGACACAAACCAAATTACAAAATTTTGTCGACGTTTTTTTTCTCCTTTGGCCGCTTTCCTTCTTGGTTTTGGCTTCTGTCAAAATTTTTCGCTGTCTCAACGCTGCGAAGTGTTATTTATTACAGTGCCACCAAATTAATCAACACAATCGGCTTTTAATTGAATTATGAATTTCATAAATAAAAAACACTGTCATACCAACTGATGTCAACAGCTAAAAAACTCCATCATCACAAGCTTGTTGCTGGCTGGCTCATACAATTCATGAACTCATCGATCGAGATAGAAACATCCATGCGTTCTCTATCTTGTTTTTTGTCGTTTTTCATTCTCATTCTAACTTTAGTTTGCACAAAATTCACTTCTCATTTGATTTTCATTCGCTGGTCGTGTTCTTTTATCTCTAATTTTTGTACTTTTCCGCTCAATGGCGCTGGCTTTGTAATGTGTTGATAGTGTTTAGTTTCAAGTAAACATGATGCAGATAATATCGTTGATTATTTTATGGGCAACCATAAATTTATCCTAGAAAAAAAGAAAACACTGTCCAGCTGAACTTTGAAATCGTTCTGACATCGAATTTATCGTTGTGTTGTTTGATATTTTTTTAATGCGGTTTCTTCCAACTGCCAACAGGATTTATGTTTATGTCAACATTTTCCACAACTCGTTCTCACCGTACCGAAGTTTTTTGTCCGTTTATTTACGATTCGATATCTGAATAATGAACGCAAGACAGTGCATAAAGACTCGACTTGCAAGGGAAAGAGAAGTGAATCGGATGATTTTTGATGTGTTCAAAAAACCTGAAATCAATGAGCTGAGCATAATTCATGTTTTTTTGTTCAAGAAAAGTGAATTGGATTGAAGTTAAATTCAGAAAAAATGACAACGAAAATTCGGAAAAGCCCAGTTTGGACGAAAAGTATTTGTAAAAGAGAAGGTTGAATCTTAAAACACATTAAGCAAATATTTGTTTTGGTTAAAAAAGAGATCGATTGATTATTGTGCTATTAGAAATTTCAAAAATGATTTTGAAATCTGGATCTGGGTTCTGCCTTCAACCTTCGTTCATGACGAATATAGCGAATTTTCCAAATAAAATTAAAGGAAGAGTCGAAAATGTGGTATAAATAATTTTGCATCGACTTTAATTTCGAATAATATATCAAGTTAATGCAACATTTATGTTTGGTTTCCGAATAAATGTGCCTATTGCACAATGATTACGCCACAATCCAAATGCATCCATGGTAAAATGTTCCAAGTAATTATGCAAGAAATATGTGAGATTGCATATTCAATTCATGGTTTAGCTTGTCCAATGAGGCAAATTAAGTGACACGCACAAGAATAGCGCCATCTACAATCGTTAGAAGAAAGCTATGATGCTTACGGTCAAGCTTCAAAACATTAAAAAAACGTTCAAACGATCAAACGTTCAGACGTTCGAAACGCTTGATCCATCCGTTAAATTGAAATGTTGCGATTGCTTTTATTTCTGATTCGGTTTAATGAGTCATAAGAATATGCATTTTTCCTTGATTGAGAAAAACTCGATCTAAATTTTGTTTAACTTCGTAATAAAAAATAATACAATTCAAAAACGGTAGATACTTCAATCCCATAGCTGTCAAAGTCAGTGGTGATGGCGCGTACTTTGGAGTTTCAAATTATCGAATTGCAGACTTTATTTTATGTATAATTATGCGTAAAGAACAACATTTTTACATTGATTTTCTGAAAATAAAAGTAAGCAAAAAATGCTATAATAAACCAATGATTATTTCAGTAATTTTGACTTTTGTTGAGTTCACATCGAACATTGACTAAAGGCTAACACCTGAATCAATGCTAGCATTTGTAGTGTTAACGCCCAAAC